ATACCGGCCGGTATATATATCTTTTAATCTCTTGATATCCTTTTAATTTCAAATAACTTTTTAATTTCAATTCCTTTTAATTTCAAATAATATTTTTCAATTGATTGTTAACCCATATCGGCCACCTTGTTCAAATATGTATTCGTTGTTAAAGTGCTCTAGGGTTACAAACATCTTTTTTGATTCTCCATATAGTAAGTGGCGATCGCTGGGCAACGTCATTATCGATGGCTGGGAAGAGTATTGAGGTTTAAACAATGATCATCGTTAGGTTAACCACCGAATATATTTTGTAGAACCCAACGATCCAATAGCTTATACACAAGGAATGTATGCAACTTGGGGGCTCTTACGCCACCTTCTGGAACAAATAAAAATATGCTACCTTCGTATCTATTTCAGAATATATTTAAAAAATACCATTCAAACAGCAAAATCTTTCAACATTTCTTGTAAAAAAATAGAACGCAATATCAATTATGAATGATTACTCTATCATATTGATCTAAAAATTTTCTTCTTCTTATTTAATTTGATCGTCGTCCCTTGAGCAAAGAAACATAAATAAAATATTTAATTGTCATTAATAAAATTAAAAAATGTTTACAAATTGTTCTACGTTTATATTAATTTTGGACGCATATACTTTCATGGGACGGATATACTTTCATTGGACGCATATATGTTCATGGAACACATATACTTCTATAGGACGTATATATTATGTATGAGGTTCAGACATATTTTATTTTAGTTTAAAATGCCCTAAACTCTAAATAAATGTTGAGGCTTTTATTTTAAATATTTCTTTAATAATTTATAAATTAGGGTCAAGCGAGGCTCCGAAGAGTACTGGAAATGAGGGAAATAAAACAAGTATATATAGGGACTAAGCAGCAGGGTTGCGACGTAATTACGAATTACAGCGTTTTTTGAGTTACGAATTACGATTACGAAAATATCGGGAAAAATTACGAAAATAAAAAAGAAAAATTACGAAAAAATATTATTGCAAAAAAACCTAGTACCTTTTTGAAGGAAAAGGGAAAGAATTATTTATATTTTCTTTCAATTTTTTATTGTTTATCTGTGGTAAAGTGGTTTAGGAGATGGCCTCACTTGTTTTGACATTTTAAATGGATAGCTTTAATCCATGATTGCGAAATTGATGTTTTGATATTTTTTCTTCCAAAAATAAAAATTTTAAACTTTGATTTTAAATTTATTTTTTTAATATTTTAAACTTGAAAAACTTCAAAATTGTTGATTTAATTATGAATTTCCCAGAAAATTGAAGAGTTCTGGCTTAATGCCCGTCTAACATAAAAAATTTTTGCCTCCGACACTAACAATTGAATTTTTCTCTAAGGCTTCCAAAATTCTCAAAATTTTTGCCCGCAGCGCAAAAAAAGTTATTTGAAATTAAAAGGATATCAAGAGATTAAAAGATATATATACCGGCCGGTATTTGGTATTTTTTCAAAAATTTGTTTTTATTTTTTCAAAAATTTGTTTTTATGTAATAAATATTGGATATTTTAAATTAAATTAGGTAAATATTTTTTTTAAATTACGAATTACGATACGTATTACGGCATTTTTTGAGTTACGAATTTTTTTTAATTTCGAAAAACTAATTACGATTCCGAAAATTTTTTAAATTACGATTACGAAAAAATTTTTTCGATTACGACGCAACTCTGCTAGGCAGGGCGGGTAGTTGATAAAAACATAAATCTCTATTATTGTCACCCTAAATATCGCCACCCAAAATGCGAATTACCCAAAATATCGAAAATTTTTAAATTTCATAATTATGTATTCCAAGTCTTTTTAACATAGGGAAATTGTTCCAACAATGGAACAAACATCAATCTGATCAATATGTTGAAGCAAAGATAGAGTGATCGATCTCCGAGGAGAATCTTGATCGGTCGCTATGGCCAGTTCGATCGAAAACAAAATTCCCCGATGTTGGAACATCATTCCCGATATTTGGAATACATAATTATGAATTTAAAAATTTTCGATATTTTGGGTAATCGCATTTTGGGTGGCGATATTTAGGGTGACAATAATAGAGGTATCGATATTCTGAGGTAGAGTCATTTAAATAATTCCAGCAGTCTAACTTCAAAAGTTTTCCCATACATCTTATCTAAACTTGTCGTTCACCTTTGCTCCCCAAACCTTTTACTTTGACATTTTCTTTATGTTTTTATCAACTACCCGCCCTGCCTAGCAGAGTTGCGTCGTAATCTAAAAAATTTTTCGTAATCGTAATTTTATTATATTTTCGGAATTTTAATTCGTAATTTGAAATTTAAAAAAATTCGTAATCGTAATTCGTAACTCAAAAAATGCCGTAATACGTAATCGTAATTCGTAATTTTAAAAAAAATATTTAATTTAATTTAAAATAATAAATATTTATTAATAATAGATGCTGCTCCCTTTAATCCCTCCGAGTCATCTTATTTCTATGATATTACTCAAATCCCAATTAATTCCCTGATATCCCTCTTAATCTCCTTAATCCTCCGATTCCTCTTCAATCAATCATCATTATTTTCCTATCTATTTTTTACATTTTTAACAAAATTTGATGTTGATTGGGTAAGTCCTTCATAAGTTATAAAGTTTTCAAAAGTCCGGCTATAGTTTTTTCCAGCACTGTATAGGTCCGGCTATAGTTTTTCCAGCACTTTTTTAAGTTTAAAATATCAAAAAATAAATTTAAAATCAAAGTTTAAAATTTTTATTTTTGGAAGAAAAAATATCAAAACATCATTTTCCCAATCATGGATTTAAAACTATCTCCATAAAATGTCAAAGCAAGTGAGGCCAACTCCTAAACCGCTCAACCACAGTTAGACAATAGAAAATTGAGAGAAAATATAAATAATTCTTTCCCTTTTCCTTCGAAAAAGTACGAGGTTTTTGCAATAATTTTTTCGGAATTTATTTTTTTTATTTTCGTAATTTTTCCCGATCTTTTCGTAATCGTAATTCGTAATTCAAAAAACGCTGTAATTCGTAATTACGACGCAACCCTGCTGCTTAGTCCCTATATATACTTGTTTTATTTCCCTCATTTCCAGTACTCTTCGGAGCCTCGCTTGACCCTAATTTATAAATTATTAAAGAAATATTTAAAATAAAAGCCTCAACATTTATTTAGAGTTTAGGGCATTTTAAACTAAAATAAAATATGTCTGAACCTCATACATAATATATACGTCCTATAGAAGTATATGTGTTCCATGAACATATATGCGTCCAATGAAAGTATATCCGTCCCATGAAAGTATATGCGTCCAAAATTAATATAAACGTAGAACAATTTGTAAACATTTTTTAATTTTATTAATGACAATTAAATATTTTATTTATGTTTCTTTGCTCAAGGGACGACGATCAAATTAAATAAGAAGAAGAAAATTTTTAGATCAATATGATAGAGTAATCATTCATAATTGATATTGCGTTCTATTTTTTTACAAGAAATGTTGAAAGATTTTGCTGTTTGAATGGTATTTTTTAAATATATTCTGAAATAGATACGAAGGTAGCATATTTTTATTTGTTCCAGAAGGTGGCGTAAGAGCCCCCAAGTTGCATACATTCCTTGTGTATAAGCTATTGGATCGTTGGGTTCTACAAAATATATTCGGTGGTTAACCTAACGATGATCATTGTTTAAACCTCAATACTCTTCCCAGCCATCGATAATGACGTTGCCCAGCGATCGCCACTTACTATATGGAGAATCAAAAAAGATGTTTGTAACCCTAGAGCACTTTAACAACGAATACATATTTGAACAAGGTGGCCGATATGGGTTAACAATCAATTGAAAAATATTTGTTTTGATGATTCGTACTACACTCTCTCAAAATTATAGCTCAACTTTTACGAAGCATGATTAGAGGACAGCTAAAATTCGGCAAAATTTCTGTGAATGTATTTATTGATAAGTATTAATATATGTAATACTAATACATAATATACTTGAAAATCGATTAAGTGTACTCAAGTAATTGCATGGGAGGCATTACTTTCATGTGACGCATATACTTCCATGGGACGTATGTCCTAGGATAGAGCCAAATTTTCCTTTACATGAATAAATACTTATCAAAACTTATACATTGATTCTATGTGAAAGTCAATAAAGACTTTATTCTCTATCTTGCCCCTTTGAATTTTCCTTTAAAGGCAGGATATATAATAAAGTCTTATTATTATTATAGAATAATAATAATAATAAGTATAAATAATATAGAATAAAATAAATATAGAATAAATAACTTGAATTTTCCTTTAAAGGCAATTTTCACATTATTGTTATAAACTTAGAAAATTGAGTGAATAGCAAATTCGCGCAAAATGACATATGTACAATTAACTCTTTGGTTAATCTCCCCCAGAGCTACCGTTTCCGTAACCGAGTCTGAAACATTTAAGGGCTTAATTATTATTTTTTAAATTATTTTTTACAAAAATTTTTAAAATAATTTCAGAAAGTAATGAAGCTTTCAATAGCTTTATTTCTTTATTTATTTTTAACGCCTCATCTTGTTCATTCAACTAATAGCGATGATGAAACGGATGAAGAACATCATTTCAATCCTTTTCAATATCGAGATGTTGAAACAAGCGGGACTGGAACTAGTGACCACGGAGGAACTGGAACTGGAAGCATACCTTCAAGTACTGGTGGATACTCTCAAGGAATTTATTCTGGCACAGAACATTCTCAAAATTGGTTGGCTTTGAATCGAGGTTTTGGCAATAACCCATTTTTAAACTCACCTCAACATCTACAAGGGAATCCGTCTGGTCATGTACCTCAAAATTGGTTGCAGTTAGGATATGGCAATTATCCATATCAACATCAGCATATTAATCCTTCTGGCCAAGATTCTTCACAAAATTGGTTAAATTTGGATTTAACTCTTGGCAATAATCAGTCTTTATACCCAACTCAACATCAACATATGAATGCAAAATACCCTCATGGAACGAATCCTTCTGGTCAAGAATCTGTTCAAGATTGGTTAAATTTGGGTTTAACTCCTGGAAGTGATCAGTCTTTATACGTAACTCAGCATCAACATATGGGTGCAGAATACCATCAAGGAACTAATCCATCAGATCAAACAGGTAAAAAAGGGAAAGTAATAAAAAATGTAGAAAAATAGTTGAGAAGAAGCGTTTATTTGCAGTAACGTTTTTCTTTTTATTATATTATGGAAAAATTCATTAGATGGGAGATGCAATAGACCTATCACGGAAAGGGCCCAAAGGCAAAGGGCCTTTGCCTACCTGTTTGCAAAGAGAATGCGCATTTTTCCTTCCTTTTCTTGCATTTGTCTGCGTGAGGAAAAGTGCTCACTCATTTTTCCTTTTCCTTATTATTATGCCTCATCAAAAAAAGGGAAAAAGTGAGAAATAAACAGAGTTGTTTCGAAATTTCGATTTTCGAAATTTAGCAAAATTTTATTTCCGATTTTCGAATTTTTGCAAAAATTTGAATTTTTGGCGTCAAAATAGAGGATTTTAGCAATTGGAAGGCCCTGTTACATATCAGAGAATTAAGGCTGATATAATGGATTTAGAGGGATATCGGTGGATTGATTTTGTAAGGCCAAACAGATTAAGGAGACATCGAGGGATTAAGGAGACATCCCGGAAACTTAGTTATTAATTATTTTAAATTTATTATTATCAAGTTGCCCGAAAAAATTGTGCCAGACGGAAATTTCTGTCCGATCTGGTTCCGAATTATTTGCTTTTAACGGAAATAAAAACATGACTACATTTTCGTCTAATTATTTTATATGTCACCTTTTCCTTTCATTTAATGAGGTATGTACTATACTAATAAGTAATAGGAGAGTGAGCGAGCACTTTTCTCGCACAAAAATTGCAAGAAAAGGAAGAAAAAATGCGCATTCTCTTTGCGGACAGGTAGGGAAAAAAACGGACGCTTACCGTCATTAGTCAAAAAATTCCCTTTTCTGATAAGCATCCTCACATTTATTTAAAAAAAATTCCATCAATAGTGGTGTAAAAATAATGGCGTTTTGGCGCGCCAAAATGGGAAAAACAGACACACGCCAAAATCGGCCAAAAATTGACGCCAAAAGCCTAAACGCACGCCAAATCGCCATTGCGCACAGCCATGCCACAGCTGTGCAGTAGACGGCGTGGCGTAATGTATAACAGATAATTCCGGTCTACTGAAGATGCGGGTTTGCGGTTTATCTATAAAACTTCTTTTTACAATGAATAAAATCTTTTTATCTTTTTACATGAAATCTTTTTATGAAATCTTTTTACAACTTTAAGATAACCAACCATTTTTTACGCGATCATATAAAGGAAAGGAAATTTTAAATTATGGTGGCTATAAATATCATCGTTATTATACGTGTTCAAAAACTGGGGATTCCACTTGGAGATGCATTCATTATAAGGAATGTAGATGTAAAGGCAAAGTTATTTCAAATGAAAATTCTTATGAATTAATGTCTCCGCATAATTGTGATAATTATATTCTCCATACTAAAAGGAAACTTCGAAAAGTTATAGAAGGTAAAATTAATATTTAATATTTATTTCAAAAATTTCTGACCCAAGTTTTGATTTTTGAAATTTGAAAAAATCAAAAACTTTTTAATACTTTTTGTATCGATAAGCTAAATGTTGGCTAAATTTTTAACCTTATAATTTTAATAATCATAATAGTAATATTCCATTAAAATTACTTATATATGCCGTATTTAGTCAAATGGTTACTTCCCTTATATAATTAATTTGAAGTTGAAATTATAATTACTTCGTTAAAAATAGTATATTTATTCTTTCTAACATAAATTTAAGCAATTAACTCGCCTCTATTGTTTATCACCTCATCGAGAGATTGAAATAATAATTATCCATGAGAATCATTTGAGTAAATATGCTAGTTATGTAATTATTGTTTTTAAGATGAGCCTGTTTTTAAACAATCGAGACAAAGGACAGATAAATTAGTTTTGGGTGGTTATGAATATGGCAACAAAAAAACAGGAAAAAATGGAAATATATATTGGACATGTAGTAAAGTACCTTGTAAAGGGCGAGTATTAAATAATGCAAATGAGTACTTTTTAACACAAGAACATGAAGAACAATACCATATTGAGGGAGAAGGTAAATATTATAAATTTGAGAATTATATAGAAATTTACCCAAGTCGCACTGCCAGATATTAGTATATAAGCAGTAAATATTAAATTCAAATTATATTTTCTTATAATTGCAAATTATAAGAATACCTAAAGATTGCTTATCTGGATATCAGGGCATCCACCATTTGAGTCTCAGATCAACTTTCCTCTTTTACTGCCAATCATGCATTTCCTCACACATTATAAGTAAAAGGCAAGTTAGAAGGAGCAAAATCAGATACTCTAATAGGGGGATTGTGGGATATTAATAATGTACTTAGCATTTTCCATTTATTAATTCCTACAACCGAAACTCGAAGCACGAAAACTATGAGAAATTTCGGGTCGGTGAAGATGTTTTCACTTTTTTCGAAGCGAGGTTCAATCAAAAATAGATGTGCAACGGGGCCCATGTCGGGGTATATTTCTAGATATTATATAAGTATATGATAAGTAATTATGGACAAAATAAGATTTCTCATCTATAAATAATTTCCCATCTATTTCATATGTTAGTTTAGAAGATTTCGATGGATTGATGATAGTGTAATTTAGTTTGGAGCCGTTTTAACTTTAAAATTTAAAAATTAGGATTTGATCCTCGAGAAATGCTACAAGCTATTAATCAGTTTGATCAAAGAGGACGAGGTCGAACAAGTGGAGTGATAATTAGAGGTACGAACATGTGAAATATTTTTAATTTTAATTAATTAGAATATATGACACGTCTCGAGACTTGTTGCATATAAACAATTTATATTTATTACACTTATCCTTTTTCAGCAAATATCATTCCTTTACAATTATTATCTTCTTTTTGCACATTTTATTGTATTCATTTCCGTTACCATTACTTATCCTTTACAAAATTTCCAATAAACTAAGTCATTTTTCTTCCATATTTGAATTATTACATTAAAATCCTTTACGCCTCCCCCACTCAATCACCAATAACTCTAACCTACGCTCTGAAGGAGCGCAGACCGAAAGATCTGAGCTGCATAACTTTATATAAATATACATCTTAATAATTTAGAACCAGCCCAAGAACAAGAATCTGGGTCAAATCAAGGTAAAAAGAATATCTGTTTTTGACAAAATATTTTAATACTACAATTGAAAATATAAGTGTAAAAAATAAATAAATTATAAATTTAGAAGGAAGTTTTCGTCAACGACAACGCCGAGGAAGCAATCTTGGACCTCAAGGTTTTTTATTGAAAATTAAATAATAATGCGTTAAAAACTAAATTTAAATAATTTCAACAGATAAAGGAAAGGGACCAGCTCAAGACTAACATGTTGAAACACTTTATGATACTAGAAAATTTGAGAGTTTGAAAAAAACATAACCAAAACTAGACACTTGAGCGTCAGCCAATTTTATCGGCTTTAACTATTTTTTGCCTATTCCGGGATTTTTTTCCGCATCCGGGATTTTTTTCCAAAATATTTGCGGGACAGGATTTTGCGAATAAATCCCGCATCCCGCAAAATCCCGCAAATCACAAAAAGTGCGTGATTGCGGAAGCTGGATCTTGCAAAATCCTTCGCAGGATCCTGTCCCTCGCATCATAGCCGGAACGGGCCACCTGAGCATTATCCATTTGGGTTAAAGATTGAGCTTTAGAATGATTTAAGATTTATTCGGATTTGATCAAGCTTAAAAAAGTTATAGTCGATCAAATTTGGCTGACGCTCAAGTGGCCACGCTCAAGTTCCCTAATCCAACATAACGTACAGAAAATTCTCCATTTGAGTGCATCCAGTAAACTCAATCTCCAATAGAATGACACATTGCAAGATTTTGAAAAATAGATGACAATGCATTCTTTTAGAGATTTCACGATATATGCTCAAATAATTGCCCTCTCGCAATTAACACTATCTATATTAATTACTCTCCTCAGCGAGATGTTGAACCAATAAATAGACACTCCGAATGCCTAAAATTCACTCACATAATTTAACATTTCAATTAATTAGACATTTCAACGAAATGTTGAAACATTGATTATTCTTGGTAATTATTTGAGCATATATGTACAGTATTTTCAATTATAGCTTTATTTTAAACTTTAAATTTTTAGTTTTAAAACATTTTGATTAGTTTATATTTCTAATTCTTTAATTAGAAATAGAACCTACTCTTATTTATCACAACCTACTCTTATTTATCACTATCTTTCTATTTATTGTCACATCTGTTTTTATCCCTTTTTACTGGTATTTGAGTGCTACCCTTTTTTAATGCTAAAATTTTTTCAAATATAAAAAGATATTCAATTCAGAGCTATTTCTATGCAGTTTTCTTAAGCTATTTCGCAGATAAAAGCAATGAGTCAATAACAAAAATATAGAAGTTGCTCTCTCGATATATGTATGCTCGAATAATTGTCTCTCAAAAATGACACACTAGCTCGATTAATTACTCCCCTCAGCTTCCCTCTTTTAGCTAGATGTTGAAACATTGATTATCCCGGTAGTTATTTGAGCATATATGTCCAGTATCCAAAACAAACAGTATTTTCAATTCTAGATTTATTTCTAAACTTTAAACTTTTAATTTTAAAACATTTGATGATTATAATTTAAAACTCTTTAATGATCACACTCTACTCCTATTTATATCTATCCTCTTTCTATTTATTGTCATAATCTGTTTTTAACCTTCATACTTGTTTTTATTTTATTTGTTTCATTATTTTTAGTAAAAATTTCTGGTTGAGGGATAAAATTAGAATTAGATATAGTCGCATATCGCTAGCACCCCGCTGGGACTAAAATTTATTCTTATTTGTACTAATATCGAGCAGTGCGACTTTTTTAAATTTCTATATAATTTTATAAAGTTACATATTATTTACTTCTCCCTCAATATGGTATTGTTCTTCATGTTCGATTGTTAAAAAGTACTTATTTCCTTTATTTATTACTCGCCCTTTACACGGTATTTTAGTACATCTTCAATGTACATCTCCTATGGG